TTCAGGGGATCTCGTAGTCGAGCAGTCTCGACTAGAGCTTTCTTACTTGTTTTTTATTTATTTTTATTTATTTTTCTTTTTTTTTTTCTTTTTTTTTTTACGGGAGATTGCGTTAGAAAACTGAGAGCTTTTCAAAATACGCACACAACTGGCATGCAAAGGAGAGCAACAAATAAAAAATATAGTCAACATATTAATTGTATGTTTGATCAATCACTTGAGAGGACGAATAACGTGGACATATTAGTTAATACCCAATTGATTTAGTCAGTGTTTTAACAGAACCAATAGAAAATGAATTTAAATTGAATTTAAAAAATTAAATTTACAAAAATTAATTTAAAAAATAAAAACAATAATAAAAAAGAACTACAAAAGCAGTAACGAATATTGAAATTAAATCAAGTTTCAAATAGAAATGGAAAATATAGCCGGTCGATGAGACCCAGTAGCAACTGAGCAATTTGGCAGTGGCGAAGCAGCACATTTTGATATTATATTGCAACGCACGTACCGCCCACATACATACCCGCCTCCTTGTCACGATTGGCCGACGGCGATCCACGCTGATCAAAGCTGCGTGACCGCGGCTCACAGTCTGGACTCACAGCTCGTATATCGGGACTAATAGGTCGCAATTGCTGCTGATGATGGTGTTGATGTTGGATCTGCAGCTGCTGTTGATGCTGCGAAGCAAGCTCCTCATTTAGTCGCTTGGCCAGATCCATCGCCTCATGACCGCTTACTGTATGATGGGCGCCAATCGGAATGGGCTTCGACTTGCCCTGTTTGGAACGCAATTCCAGTCGATTAAAACCAAAGGAATTTGTTGAGCTGCGTAGCGGGCACTGAAATTGGAGCAAGATAGAAAGAGTTTAGCTATGAGAATCAACTGTTTTGCTTGTGATATTTATGGAGTTTCATACGGTGCGCTTCTTGCCGTGTTGTTCATCTCCAGAAACTGAATCGTTTTCTTCCTCGATGCGTGAAGGATTCGAGTCCTCGTTAGACTGCACGCTCACGCTGCAGGAATTGTCACCATGCGAATGTGGACGAAAACCAGGACCCGGCGGCAAATTCTTTTGCACACAGCAATTGACGCCCGGACTAAAGTGAAGCTCAACATGAAAGCGCTCTTCAGATGTGGGATCTTTGGTCGGATCCTCATACAGCATTATAACTATTTGTGACATATAATTGAGCTCCGATACCATCGATATATAATCCATAGCACGTCGCCATTGCTCGTCCGTAACAACGTTTAACAATCCGCCGTAACGCAATACCGTTAGCAGAGAATGGACATGCGACTCACTTGTGAAATAGAGCCGGGTACGCACATGACGCTGAGGGCTGGCGACACCGTGACTATAATGGGGATTCAAACGATTCATGAACTCATCCTCGATCTCGTCAATATTGCGCTGCAAGTCGCCTTTGATCTTGCGCAGCAACGGCGAGCAAATGCCCTGGCCAATAGCCAATTTCTCTTGGGGAGTCAATCCGTATTCCTGCGGTATGACAATGTCCGCCAGATTCTTAGCATAGATATATAGCTCCTCGGCCTGATCGTATTGCAGTGTATGTTGATTATGCTGCAAATCATACTTGATGCAATCGTAAATATCTGGAATTTTTGAAATATCAAATAGTTTTGATTTGGTACTAAAGTCCTTCTCTATCTTCTCCCAGCGACAGCGCATTAAGTCCCAAGTTTCACCATGATAGAGAATGGCATCCTTTGTCTTCGGATCATCCTTCTTGATGCTGATTATGTGCAGCAATTCTCGTATCAGCAAATGCACATGGTGACAGCAGTCCACAGGGTTCTTAACAAAGTCCATAGCCTGTGTTATGGATTTGCTATTGCATGGATTAATCAGCTCACGATCCTCTTGTGTAAACTCTCGATCGTTTTGCATAAGCTCGTGCAGTCGACCCTTGGCACTACGTTGAACATAAAATTAAAAGCTTGCTTTAAGAAATTAAAGGTACTGATGCCTATATACATATACATATGCAAATATGGATATTTATCGTTTATGTTTATATAGTTAATGCTAATGTCCAATACAGTTCATAACATCGGTATGTCTAGTTAGGTATATCCAAAAGGTAAAAAAAACTCTAGTCGAAACTGCTCAACTAGGAAATACCCTGAGCCCTCCAAGCTGATATTCTAATCATTCTGCCCTTATTTTTTGCACACATGCATACACACGCATCCACACGCACATACACTGCGCGTCATCAGGTCAGCGCCTCCCTTTACACTCAACCTCAATGCTAAACAAATAAGAAAGCTCTAGTCGAGACTACTCGACTAGGAGATACCCTGAACTCTCCAAGCTGATATTCAAATCATTCTGCACTTCTTTTATGCACATATACTACATACACATGCATCTACACGTACGTATAATCACGCGCTCTGCTGACTGCGCAGTTAGCAGCAACAGCACTTGGGCTGCGCTGTAGAGTGGGGAAAATTATGTGAACTTATTTGTGGAATAATTTCTTTTGTAGACATACAATCTTAATGAAACTTTTAGAGCGTAATCATATGGTAATATTGTGGGTACATTCCAAAGCACAGGTCTAGCACTTGAAATGCGTTTTTTTTACAAATTGTGGGCGAAAAGATCGTGGTATCCAAAATCTGCAAATTACAAAATTTTCGTATCGATCAACTGTATACACACAGTAAATCTGAAGTCTGTTGGTCTAAAAGTGTTCAAATTAGGCTGGACAAACAAAATCAATTTTTCGATTATTCTCGTTAAAAAAGTTATCGGATGACAGGCGGACAGGGCTATATCGACTCAGCTCGTCGTCCTGATCAAGAATATATATACTTTATGGCGTCTGCAATGATTGCCTGTTCTGCCTGTTATATACTCTTCACAAAACCATTATACCCTGATTTCCCATGTTCAATGGGTTCAGGGTATAAAAATGTAACAAAAATTTGGTCATCAGATTAGCGCCCCTTGCGATAAATTCAATTTATTTAATTTGATGTCCAAAAATAACACCTGTATATTAAGTTATTATTATTTTTAAGTAATACTAGCTGGCCCGGCAAACGTTGCATTGCCCTATCCATTATTTCTAGCTAAAAAATTGTTGAAAGCTATGTTGTTCAGGTTGGGATACACTCYGATTAATTTATTAAATGTCGGATTATATCCGTCTCCAATAATTTCCGCCCCAAATGAAGTCATTTGGAAACAGGCATTGTATTTTTGAGTGTTCGCTAGAAAATGTCGTGATTCTAGTGTTTCGCCATAAAGCAGGGA